CTTTTTCAAAAATTTTTTTCAGAAATTAGAGATTATTCTTCGACCACTATTTTGACCCAAAAATCCAAATTTGAAGAAAATTGCCGACCCGAAGGTATAATGTAACCTTAAGAAAATCAGAGGGGATTAAAGGACTTCCGAACAGATAATTTACCAAAACGATCCTTTGGGTGCCCCTGGACTAAGTGCTAAAATAGTCCATTGCAGGGTTATCCCTAGCATCACATTTGCTGGTACTCATGTGTAGTGTATACACATGGGTCGGTGGAGAGAGGCACTTTGAGAATTTAGTGTCTTTCCCAAGAACACAGCACAGTGTCCCCAACCAGGGCTTGAACTGGGTCTGCTCAATCTAGAGTCAAGCACACTAACCATGAGGCTACTGAGCAAAACACTGAGTGGAGTACTCTAAGTAGTGTAACTAGTTTGATTATGGTTAGGTCTCAACTTTGACAATGGAGGATATACATAGCAATTCTGTAATAGCGGTAGTCTGTATTAGCGGGAATTGTTTCCACACATTTCTTTGTAGTTCAGCAGTGGATTTAATTAGCTTCTGTCTATAATGGTGAATTCAGTCCATAATACATGTAGCTGGATATTCGCAAGGCAGGATATGATTGTAAAAGAAAAGTTTCAAGTTTTTGTAAGTTATGCCTTTGTTGCTAAATGTCTCAAGCTGTCAGTGCTAGCAGCAATGAAAACTGTGAAATTATATGATATTAAATTTTCATAGTATATATATGAAAGGTTTCCAAAAGGCTTATAAAATATATTCTGCTTTTCTTTCTGTAGTTGACACTTCTTTAGTTGATAGCGAAGTGGACTGCATATACTTTTGTGGCAATTCTCTTGGCCTGCAACCTAAACAGGCAGGCATCTTGGTCAACCAGGAACTGGATAAATGGCAGCAAATGTATGTATGTACAATGTATAATAGTATTAAAATGTACATACTGGTATAATTATATAGAATATGTAATTCAGAGAATGTTTTAAGATGACTGAAAATTGGTCAAGTTCTCTTTTCTTGTGTGTGTTCCATTACGGAATGCCAACTCTGGGAAGTCTAGGGCTTCATGCAGAGATGCCAATCTAAAATTAAAAAAATTGAAATCCAGGAGGTTGCTAAGTTTTTCTGCTCCAGTGATTCAGCCACAAAAATGCATCAAATATTCCAACATTTTCCTTTGAAAAAGGCCAAAAGTCAGCTAAAATAAGTGCTTTCCTCTGATGCAGGAAGAATTGGTGACCCGTATGGGAGACCAAGAGATTTGGTTTGTATCTGGGAGACTCCCATTGTCCCTGTACATGATGATCACATACAAAGACCAATATTTAGCCATCTTTACAGAACAATTTGGTGAATGTAAAGGATATTTTTCAAACATTCATCTTGGTAATTCACTCGGACAAACTCTCATGTCTGTTGAATGTACAAAACTTTTGAGGGCTAATCTAAACTTTATGTTTTCCTACAACACATGGTCACAGGCATGGTTAACTAATACGACTAGTAGTTGAAAGTGAAGAATGATCATTGCAGTAAATTTTCCAATTTAAGAAATTAGAAAGAAGAGGCCTGAAAAAATCAGGGCTTCAATGGGATTCGAACCTGTGTCCTCTGCGAATACTGGTGCGATGCTCTACCAACTGAGCTATGAAGCCACACATTGGGAGCGAGGTCAATTAATTGAGTTCATATCGTCCTGTGAGGAGTGAAATGATGTGAAGTATATAATTATGATATAATTCATATTTGAACTGTGGTTGTACATGAACAAATCATGTAGCATTCAAAGTTTGGGAGAGAGAACGTTTTATTTATTGAACCGGTCCAAAAGAAACAGGACCATACGAGGTATGACTGGAAACAATAAATCTGCTACACCATGTAAGGGTGGGAGGGAATTAGGGTGAACTTACTGAGTTGTGTAACAGTTTGATGTGAGATTTACTACTGAAATTAATGACCCCCTCCTATCTAAGACATGGTTGACCACCCCCATAATTTTCCAGATGAGCTGGCATGCATATGCCTACAGTTTTTATGTACAATCTGCATATGAGTATATAATTATGCATGTTTTTTTTAGGGGTGTTCATGGCCATTTTCATGGCAGTTTACCTTGGTGGAAAATAGAAGACACTGTCATATCAGAAAGTGCAAAACTAGTTGGTAATTAGAATTTTGTTTGCTTATCAATTGTTGGAACTATATCAATAGGGTTATAGTTATTGTTGCTCAAGTAATGATTGTTATTTGTCATAAAATGTTTTCTCTATAACTAGGTATACCTATCAATAGAGTGCAACGAGTGATTAATTTGTGGTATAATAAGGGGTTTTTTAATACAGAGAAGGAACACACTGGTTCGATTGATGAACATGCTCGTTTAATTGTGGTGAACACGCTGGTTCGATTTTGTGTCTCAAACACTGGATTTGCTCTAGTTCCAACAGTTTTCCTCAATATTTGAATTATCCTCTTGAATACTACATTTGCTGTAATTCCAACAGTTTTCCTCAATATTGTCCCTTGGTTTCTTCAATATTTGTTATAAATCAACAGTTCTTAAAGAAATGCTGCCCGATTGAACTCTCAGTTCAATATGGGTAAACATACACAGAGAAGGAACACACTGGTTCGATTGATGAACATGCTCGTGTAATTCTGTGGTGAACACGCTGGTTCGATTTCGTGTCTCAAACACTGGATTTGCTCTAGTTCCAACAGTTTCCCTCAATATTGGAATTAGATGAAGAGTTTTGTAAAGACATGCTGGCCGATTGAACTTTCAGCTTGATAAGGACAAAGTGAGAGGGAACATGCTAGTTCGATATTAATGAATGCGCTGGTTCTATGGCAGGTGCAGGTTGCAGGTTGAAATTTAATTATAACCGGAAAACCCCTGGCACTAAAAATAATTAATAACCTATATACTCGTCAGGGGTTCTTACATAAAGTAGTTCACCTCATTCACATAGTGAAAACACGATCGATCTGCTATAAGTACTTATTGATTGACACGCTGAGACCAGTGAAATCTCTTCAAAGCCATCTGAATGGATGCTCCACAGATGTTTCCATCGATTCCAGATTTAGCTCGGGTCTTCCTATAGGACCCCACGTGTGAATTTTTATTTTAGCTTGCCATTTATGTATGCAAATTAGGACTATTTAAANGATTGTCATGTTGTTTTGGCCACTTGTTGGAGGTTGTTTGCTTAAAAAAAGGCTTACAAAAGGGGGGTCACGGACACCCTAGGACCCCCTAGCTATGCCCTTGAGACTCCTCTTTCCAATTTTTGTGTATTAAATAAATATATATTTTCACCCTTGTACAAATGGATTTAAAGTTCTTTTCAGGAGTACTGTACATCATCGCCTGTTTAGTTTTCTGTTATACCATGCGCCTAGTGTTAGGGGCATAGCCAGGATTTTTTCAAAGGGGGGGGGGGTCACACTCTGTCAAAGTGAGGGTACTCACCAGATTCTCATGTCGACCTCCACCGTTTTTGCCACCTGTTGTAGGTTGTTTGCTTTGAAAAAGAACCCTGACCCTCCTAGCTACACCCTTTAGGATAGTTGCAATAAAAATATTGCAGCCTGTCCGTCAGCTGTACATGAACCTGGTATTACCTCATTTTTAGCAAACAGATTGAATCACTGTTATAGAGCTTAAGCTGACAAATGCTTCAATGATCATACACAGTTATGAACTCCCTCATTTTGCTTGGCTGGTTATTAGGTCACTTGATAGAGTACTGTGTAATTTGGGCCATTGCCTGATTTCAAGCCGAAAAGGACTAGGTACGAGTCTACAAATTATGGAATTAGCAGCTATTGATCCACATAGTTATAAAGTGCACACCAAGCTTTACAAAATCCCCAAGTTTGTTGCAAATAGGCTGAATAATAAGCAAGATACAACCATTTGAAAACATCAAAATTTACAAAAAAATGTATGGCCATCCGGACGCTGTGTTTGGATTACCAAATACTTCTGTGTAATTTTGGCATTTTTAAATGGCTCTATCTCAGTCAAAACTAGCCTGTTTAACACTAAACGTGGAGATTTTGTGAATCTCGGTGTGCTCTTTCTGTCTATGTGGATCAATAGTTGCTAATCCCATAATTTACAGACTCGTACCTAGTCCTTTTCAGCTTGAAATCAGGCAGTGAGTGGCATTGTTGTAGTTCTAACACACTTAAAATATTTGGTTTCAGTGAGCAATAAAACATTTAAAGTTAGTCGTAGTTTTAATAATATTATGATAACACATCTGACCAATTATTGTGAAATTAATTCATGCCCAACCATTAACTATTATTTGTTGGTTGGGAAAAAACTAACACAAGCTGAATGATGGTCATGGACAGCCTTGTGCATAATTTGCCCCATGGGCGAGAAATTGTCAATTGTCTTGTCTTGAGTTCTTTTCCACAGCTTTTTACTCTGTTGCTTGTGACATTCAGCAAAAAGAATAAAAATAAAATATTGTATTCACTCATAGAAGAAGTAAAAAGAAAAGAAAATCACAATTTTTATGCATGAGCTTATTAAACTTTTAATTGCTACTTTGCCTGTTACTCAGGGTGAGGAATTACTAAGAACAGAAGACATTCTCTCCATTATCGAGGATCAGGGAGACTCAATAGCACTTGTTATGTTTAGTGGTAAGTCTAAATTTATGCTTCTTTGCTAAAAGGGACAAGGTGATATTTAGCGATTGATTGTATGTCACACATCAGTCTGCACACTCATCTTCGTTAAAATAAGTTTATGAATATTAACTCATTAACCTAAACCTGTCCTTCTCTAATGATGGCAATTCAAGGACTAGTGTGTCACATTCGAGAAAGCCTTCTTGATAGGGTAATAATAGGAAAGGTTTAATATATTTAACAGTAAGTCTCCATCAGGCCAAAGTACTCCGGATCATGTGTACTAAAGGCGTCCGTGGTCTAGTGTCAATCGATACCCTTCATTGACACTCAATCGACATCTTGATCGACATCTCGATCAACACTGAATTGACATCTCAATCAGCACTTGGTTGACACTAGACCGACACTCAATCTACACTTGATCGACAGTGGATTGAGAGTTGGCCAAGTCCCAACTGACTCACATGTATCAATCTACGCTAACCGTTTTGATGGCATGTCTGCCAAATTAGTCGACTTTCCACTGTTGACTGAGATGTCGATCGGGTGCTGAACGAGTATCAATCAATTGCTGATTGAGAGGTTGATCAAGTGTCAATCGCGTGCTGATCGAGGATCAATTGAGGGTATTGATGGCTGCCTTTAGTACACTTGATCGAGTATTCCTTCTTGTCAGAGCTTATCTTCCTTTGTTTAGTATCAAGTGACCAGGAATATTTAAATTCTTATCCCTCCTGGATGCATGACATGCCATCTGTTATTTAGTTATTTAAAAGGGACTTTAATTATAATTTTCGAACAGATGCACTTTATGGCTGTATCATTTAGTTTATTAAGCACTACATGAAAATGACAAGAAGATTTCGTTTTTGACGAAAATACGGGCCGGTTATGAAAGCATGAGAAATGGGGTATATGAAAGGGCTACCTGTTCCGTCAAAATGGTATAGAACAGGGTAAGGGGGTGGACCTGGGGGCAGAGCCTGCCCGTATAAAACTTTGTAGATTATCACCTCCCCCCTCCCCCCTGGGGGCGCTAATACGGCTGAAAGCCCGGAGGGGACTCCTATATAAAAAGGTACTGCTGAAGCTCCCGCTGTGGACCCCGGGTGTGGACGTTTTGAGGCTGAACACCCTAAGAGGTACCATAAGCGCTTTTTGAAGCCCTAAAAGGTACGATCAGCACCCCTGCACCAGCACCCCTGCACCAGCACCCCTGTCCTTCTTGAATGGGAATTTCCTCCTCTCCCCCCCGGGGGGGGGGGGAGTTTTAAGCTTGTGCTTTGGCGGTGTATTTAGCGTCCGAATTCTTCTGTTTCGCGCTCGCCGAATTTTTTTCCGTCCTAGCCGGCAGCCCGTTCGCAGGCTACGGTGTATTAGGCCGCCTGTGTTTGAAATCACGTCAAAACTGCAAGGGTCTGATTGCAACTTTCTATTACATGATTGATTTCGAATTGGTTTCTCCAACATTGAGCGTGGCACTCGGCGAAGGGGAAACTAGAGCTAGACTGTCTTAAACAATGTCTGTGTTACATGCTGCAAACACGATGTTACTCCACAACTAATCAAAAGAAAACACTGATAAACGCAGAGGCAGATAACATTCGGAACCCCAAATGGTGATATCATAGCTTTTTCTTCGGTCTTGAACTCTTGATTTACGCGTTGGTCTGGTCGCTTTGCTTGGATTGATTACATTGTACGTAGAACATAGAATAATGTAGACTTTGGACGTAACTTTTAACATTGTAACATCACGCAACGGTAGCTACGCAATAAACCCACCAGTCAGTTAAGTTATTGTTAGGTTATTCAAGTACACATCTAAGACATCTAATGCCGTGTTTAGACTTGAGCGTTTTACGGAAGTATTAGATTTTACTGGAAAAACATTTAGCGTGTGTAAACACCTACTTATACCTTGTTCGTATTGCGGCTCCAAAGGGTATGGTTTTTTCAGCCTTTTTTGGTCATGAATAGGGTATGGTTTTTGCACTCTATTCCTAAATTGGGTAGTTTTTTGTTTTGTTTTTTTGGAAGAAGCTACTTTTTCATCATCATGGATAAGATCATCAATAAAAGCCTTTCACAAGTTATGTTTACGGCAATATAACATTGGTCTAAATTAGGGAACTAATTATAAGGGGGGTTTGCGAAAACAGGGTATTGATTTAAGGGTCAGGTCATAAACAGGGTATCGAATTGTTGATCAGGTCGTAAATAGGGTAAGGAAAATCGTAGATTTTGGTCATAAATAGGGTGAGGATTTTGGGAAGTGGACCGCACACCCCGACCCAATTTTTCTGGGACTACACCTCCTCACGGGGGCGGGGGGCAGGGGGAGGGGGTTGGCCAGGTTTGAACAAACACATCTCGGTTCTCCGGACAACGTGAAACACCGGCAATGACAAATGTCAATATTTCCATTTTGAACAGAACGTTGGACGTCCTTAGCTTATGATGCCAGAACAAATAGTTTTGATTACCACTCAGTTTGTTGTAGACAATCAAAAGTGGGGACGTCGTGAACTTTGTCCAGGTACAATGCATATCTGTGCCATATTGATCTTATTTTTCAGGTGTCCAGTACTACACTGGACAGTTTTTTGACATGAAAAGGATTACTGCTTTTGCACAGAAAAAGGTAAGCATTAACCATTTATTTCTATCAAACTCCTTGCTAACAAGCTTGTATGCTATGTTTTTGGTACAAACGTGTTTGATGGCTCAGCAGGTTGAAGACTGCATAAATACAACATGTATCAGAATTATTCCACGAGCATGCGTTGGATGCGAGATTTAATATATCAAACGCAAGAGACAGTGTTTCATCAGGATATCCACACGCCGAGAAGAGAGTTGAAAATACGATGCGCAGCGGAGTATTTTTGACGAAATTCGAGGTGTTTGGATAGCCGATGAAACACTGTCTCGAGTGTTTGATATATCTTCTTAATCGAAACAAAAACTAAGGAATAAACGGGCAAGTAAAATCATCAAACTCTACGCTAATTAAGACAGGTTGTAATTTTATTTGTTCTAACGCGATGAATTATTAATGAGTTTGAGAAGCAAGATTGCCAACGAAGTGCGTAGCGCCGAGATGGCTATTACCATTTCGTATCCAAGTGGAATAATTGCTTTTTTTATTATTATTTTTTTTTTTTAAAAACGCTCCCCTCCCCCCACACCACAAACAAAAAAATAAAAATCATAATTATAATTAAATATAGAAACTCAAATAATATTAAGAAAAGCCCGTAAAATTGTGCGTACGCTTGTCATATTTGCAGAGCATGATGTAAATAAACAATAGTCTCCATTGACGCGAAAATTTGCAGATATTTGACCACGGACATTATATGTTCCGAGAAGTAAACTGTTTTCCGAGCGTGTAGCTCCAAGAAAACTGTGAGCTTTGAGGAACAGATAATGTCCGAGGACAAATATGCGAGCATATTTTCGCGCCAAATAGAGGCTACTGTGTTTATTATCCTTCAAATATTTTTCGCAACACGTGCAGTGACGCGTTTAGACCAATCACGCGCAAGCGAAAATATTTGGATTATAATTGCTTACATACCATGATGGCTGAGGCAATGAAAACTCCTGAATTGTGCTATCCAATGATCCACTGTTAATAAGATCTAATTATCACATGCAGCCTTTTTCTGAAATCAAATCTAGCAACAATCTGTTCATGTCCTTGTTATTACCAATTTAAATTCAAAAAGATGTACTACTGTATCGCCTTGCTGTTTTCGATGCTGTGTTATTGGTTAGTTTTAAGGTCATGTTTTTGTTGTTGTTTTTTGTTTCTGTATTGCCTTGTAATTAAGGGCTGTGTCGTTGGTTGGGATCTAGCTCATGCCGTAGGAAATGTTGAACTTCACCTTCATGATTGGAATGTAGACTTTGCTTGTTGGTGTTCATACAAGGTAAGCTGGCCTGGTATGACTCTTTTGGCTTGTCTTTGCTTGGTAATTGCCTGCATCTTTATCGCAGCAGTTTTGGGAGATAAAACCTCTCGAGACCAACTTGAATACCGAAGTAAAGTAATGTGCGAAAACCGTACCTTCGGGGGTGGGGGCACGCTTACCTACATGTTCCTACATAAAGGAGTGTTTTACCGGAAAAGAGACCAGCCCTAGAAAATCGTACTAAACTACGTACATCCGGGGTCCTGTTGACATATTTTCTATATCCTTCACAAGTGAGGATATATATGTTGTCAATGTCCGCCTTTGCGTAGTAATAACGAAATAAAGATTACCTACAGCGGCCCGCCATCATGAAGACGTGAACTTTGTCTTCTCGTGTTGGGAACAATATTTCATTCATTTACTACACTCATTGCCCACTGCAAAATAAAGTTGATATCTCAGCGCCCCAAATCCACTCCTGCATGAGAGATGTAGATGTGTTACGTAGTTTAATTGTAGGTAGCTGCCTGAGAGTGCCTCAGCAGCAAATTTTACTCTTGAACTGTTTATTTGTAGTACCTTAATTCTGGGCCTGGTGGAATAGCAGGGGCATTTGTACACGAGAAACACGCCTGTAACTTTGACCTTCCAAAGTAAGTTGTTCAAGACTGACAAAATATCAACCAAACCTGGAAACAGGCTCTTAATTACTTTATTCGCAACTTCAATTCTGATGCCAAATTTTCGAGAAAAGGAACTTTCATTAAGCATAGTCCATGTTTAGTCCTAACTAAAAGCCTTCAAGCCGTGGACAAGTATACGGGCGTCATACATGCATTCTC